ACAGGACCTCACCGACGCGTTAGATATACACGCGCGATAGTGATAGCCCGAGATAGTATCGAAGCTTTTACAAGAAGGAAGCTTATTCTTTATTTCTCTCTTTTGAGTCCATTTGAATAACACAACATCGTGTTGCGAGCGTGCGGAGTCACGAGAGAAGCCACTGGCGCGACCCAGGACGCGAGAATTCTGAGATCGTGAACCCGTTCTTATTGTTACGAGGGAACGTGCACGAAGTATGGGGAACGACAGCGGGTTCGAAACCGACGATTTCTCGCGAAACGATGTTCTACGCAATCCCATCTACGTCTCCCGCTGTGTACATATCGCATATTCCTTCTATGCAACCTGGCGCCATTCCTCAAATTTTTCTTTTCAGCTACCGCATGCCAAAGCTCGCTTTCCCCAAGCAATATATGTTCAAGAATTAATTTATAGCCATACATAATTAAATGTGACAGATTCTCATAATTTTCGAAACAAAAAGTTCTTCTTTCAACAAAATTTAGAAAAATTACATATCTTAATTTATAATATAGCATAAAATTGCGGGAATATTATTGAGTGATAATATAAGTGATAATTGAGATGATTTCGATATAACAATGTAGATAAAAATAAAAATATGTAAAAAGAAAAAAACCGATACCATTACACGTTATTTTCAGCTCTTTCCTGTAGGCAATAACGATACTCGCAAAAATAAAAGAGATAATGCATTTCAGAATCACTTGAAAATAACGTATGTAACATTTGCCACAGCGACAAAATCCACGGATAATAAAATAGGAAGGCTCGGATGACAATGGAACGCGATGCAATGGATCGTTCAATTTTCCGATCAGCACCTGTGTACGTCTCGCGCAATTCGACGAGGCAATCAGCCAGTAATTTTAATTATCGCGCGCGTATTTACGACTGGTAATCGCTCGATCTCGGATGCGGCAATCTCGGGGGCATCGCGCAGGCATCGTCAGTAACGAAGGAATTTACCGATCGGCGGCCAAGATTATGCCGGTGCTCCTCTGACTAATTACATTTCTAACCCGGGACGAGGGCACGTCGCGGAGGGAATAGCATACGCGAGTAAAGGCCGCACGTTTCTATATCCAATTATGTACGGACGATTGGCAGCGGGCTCGTAGATACGCTCCGCGACCGGATTGGCCTTCCTCGACCTGTTATCGTCCAGATAGGAATTATTCCGATTCATGCTTTCCATCTAATAACTATCTATATCCCGAAACTTCGCGTTTCCGATATAATCAAGTTTTTCACGTTTTTCAAACCTATTATTTTCTTCACCGATACGGTGCAATTAATCGACGAAAGTAGATTAGTTCTTCGGCATCTATAAGGCATATTATGATTATCACTATATTAAGTACGTAATAGAACAAAAAAAGTAAAGTTTACATAAAGAAAATTACTCACTTTGTAATCTTCTCTGCGAAATAATTGTATACCAGATACACAACGGATAAACTCAAAATTTATTTAATAATTATTAGATGCTTGTTGTAATTCAAACGTCGGAATGCTGACTGACCGCTATTTAAAAAGAAAAAAAAAAAAAGAAAGTTAGTAATCGGTTATTTTAGAACGAATGCTTCGTTCTCGAGGTCGTAAAAGCGAGGCTGAGTGACACGGCGAGTAATATCTGAGGGGTAATATCTCGAGTAATATCTAGAGGGTACGTGTGGTTGCTCGGTATATTAGGACTAATGAACAGATTCGAAGCACTGATATCATCCCACAAACGGCAGATGTGCGAGGCTACGTACTAAGAAATTCACCGCATCCGTATCGCGATATGAGAGAGAGAGAGAGAGAGAGAGAGAGAGAGAGAGAGAGAGAGAGAGAGGAGCAAAGGAAATTCCAATCCTCTCATGTCAATAAAAATTTGATACTGCAATAAAGTTAATGCATTCTTCTCGACTCTTTTTCAAAAATCCTTTCCAGCGAACACTGCAACAATTTCCCTCGCGTTGCACGTGTGCGCGTACGTGTGCTTGTTGTGATTGATCGTGTAAGTTTTTCGAGAGACGGCGAGATGCAAATCTAATTAAATTACCATGAAACAACGTTCGATCTTTTGGACTCGCGCTTATTTTTCTCGCGCGCTATCTCGTTTTGAACGCACCGGCCGCGTTTTGCCCGCGCCGCAAGACCAACGGCTGACGATTTGTATGTACAGTCATCCGCACTTCCATGTAGATTTATCAACGTGGATATCTACTGTCTGGGCAGGAAGTCGCTCTTGCTCTTGTTTCGAATCCGCTCGAGCGTGTCCCGCGGCATACAAACGCAACGCGGCGAGCGCACCGCCGACGGAGTCGCCGCGCATTGATATTTCCATAAATTCTTCGCGTTTTTCAATCTCAAACAATATCGTATTTAACCGGAGCGAATAAATCTGCACAGATTCTTCTTTCAAGAAGAACGTTTCGAGATAAACCCTCTTTTGCACGATAAATTTATGAAAACACAAGCATAAATAGCAACTTTCAAAAATATAAAGAGCAAGATAGTGTCCTTTGAATAAACATACGACGTGTACGTTATGTGTCTCGAAAAAATAGTAATTAATCATTTTCCGATAATCTTCCTAGATTTGAAATTCTCGAACAAATAATTGATGAAATCGTACGACAGCGTTAAGCATCGCCCTCGAGTTTCCTG